GGGGGGAAGGGGGGAAATAATTTTTTTTCTGGTCAAAAAAAATCTCAAACTGGTTTTACAAACAATAATAATATTTTAAAACGTAACTCCAAGAGTTTTATTGATTCAGGATTAAAGATTTTTTTACTACATACACTTAAAAAAAAATACTCAGATATTCACTCCTGATCACAGGCTATGATTTGTCACAGCATTTAAGTCCCGATTTAGGAATACTGCATGTTACCCTGACTGAGAATGCACTCCTGATTTAGGATCTTACATAGTTACCAATCCAGTACCTCGTAACACTGGTTTACTGGGTTGCAAAAACTGGCCATCATACTGGTAAATACAGCATATGGGAACATATACAGCTAACGTATGTGGCACCTCCAACATTCTAATCAAAGCTGACAAGAAAGCAAATTCAACTCTGGAATATGTATGATAAGCCATATAGATGAAGTTTACAGAGAACTTTTGGTCTTTGTTTTTCGTAAGATAAATCATAATTTTCAAGCAATAAAAACTCAAAGCCTAAACCATAAATGAGTCTGAAGGTACAAAAAATCCTCCTCACAGCAGCGTGTATAAAAAGTATACACATACCAGGGCCTTCTTCAATCCTAAGTAGTTTTGCCCTGTTCCTACTGTGACAGTAACTTCAAGATTAATATTTCAGTTTCAGATGCAGTTTTACCTATTTTCCATACTATCAAATCCACTTTGAATACTATCTTTTCAGCTTTTCCTTGTAAGACACAAAGTATGTGAAAGATCAAAAGAAATGGGAATCAACAGGATTAAGAAATGGAAATCCTTCTGTCTTGCTGCATGGCATCAGTCAGTATTTACCTAACATGCTGCTCAACCAAGCAGCATTCCCATGGATCAAAAAAATAGATGCATCAATGGATCCTAGTACAAAGCCTGAAAGTTAACTTCTAAGCATACTCATCCTAATTCACTGCCAAAGAGACACTGACTTTGTACTGGGTCTGGCTGGGATGGAGTTAATTTTCTTCACAGCAGCCTGCATGGTACTGTATTTTGGATTTGTTTCTGAAACAGTGTGAACACACCAGTGTTTCAGCCAGTGCTGAGCAGTGTTTGCACAGCCTCAGGGCTTTCTCTGTTTCTCACTCTGACCCCATAGCCAGTAGGTTGGGGGTGGGCGAGAAGTTGGGAGGGATACACAGCCAGGACAGCTGAGCCCAATTGACCAAAAGGGTCAGCATTGTGCTCAGCAATAAAAGCTCAAGGAAAGAAGAAGAAAAGAAGAATGTTCATGGTTATGGCATTTGTCTTCCCAAGTAACTGCTATGCATGCTGAGGCTCTACTTTCCCAGAAGCAGCTAAAAATCTGGCTGCCAATGGGAAGTAGTGAATAAATCCCTGATTTTGCTTTGTTTCAGTGCACAGCTTTTGCTTCACTTACTAAACTGTCTTTATCTTGACTCTTAAGTTTTTCTCGCTTTTGCGCTTCTGATAGTCTCCCCACCCCACTGGGGGAGGAGTAATTGAGCAGCTGGTGGGTGCCTACTGCTGGCTGGGGTCAACCCACCACAGGATTCCTTTTGGTATTGGTCACATATTAAGCAGAAACAAAATATTAAGTCATTCATGTCTGTCCCAGAATTAGTATGGACCAGGAAGCTGGGCAAAGCCGCCTTGGGTTCCATTCAGAATTTGGAGCCTCCAAAACTGTGTAATACAGTGTTCATACAAGCTCATTGGCCTACAGATGTTTAATTAGCTGATGGGCATATTTATTTCCCTCTTTTACAGTAATAAAGAACATGGTTGGCATTTCTCATTATCTTTTTCATTTTGATAACTTTTACTTTTTCCTTCAGCTATGGTTGCGAAATTAATTTTAGTACACTTAATTCCATTGTTTAATTTTATTTTATCCATTTTTGCTTATCCTCTCATTCTCTCTTTTTTTCCCATAGCATCACAGGCTGCAGCTCAGCAAAATGATTAGAGTTATATTTTTAAATTTATATTGATATACTCAAAAGCTCTTTAAAGCTAACATCTTCAGTGGAGCCACTGTTATAGCCCAAAGCCATCATGATACTGTGGTTGATTAAGTCATAAAAAACAACAATGAAGCAACCACCTGCAACAGTCATCGATTCCCTTCGATAATACAAAAGTGGAAGAGATCCGCAGGAAATCTGTCAGTTCTAAGGTCACTCCGTATAGTACAACATTTAAAGCATTTCTCACAAAGACATAGCAACCTGCTCCTAAAAGTTTTGATGCTTTTATTATCACACTTTACTTCTCCGTTTAACTCCCTTCACTAATTACTTCAGAAAAAAACATGCTTCACAAAGTTATTCCAAGAGACATCTTTTAGACAATATTCTGAATCATGAAATAGGAGTTGCAAATAATGTTAGATCTTCATAGAAGAGAAATATAGCTTATAAGAATTTGCAACATTCTTTGATTGGAAAAGCTATTTCTGATGTTACTGCATGCAGCTAGTCCAAATGAAAATAAATAGACAGAGAAAGAAACACCTACAATTCTAGTGCTTCATGTACAAACTAATACTGGCAGTTGTTACATGGTGCTGGTTTAATGACTGGAATAAAACAAATATTGCTGCAGGTTAAGAAAACTGTTTCTTTATGCAGCAGGTACTCAAATGCATACCACTAACTTACCTGCTTTTGCATTTTCTATTCTGCCAATCACTGCAGTACCTGAATGTCTCACCCACTACATTTTTGCATTTAAGCAGAGAAAATATACAAGACAAAACATTCATCCTCAGAGATTCAAAGATTTGAGTGTGTACTTCCACTGGCACTGACGTCAAGTAAAATACGCCAGTTATAAGAAGTGGTGGGTGTTAAGCACCATTCCATTGAACCTCAGCTCTGCACAATCAAAGCAAGGTATCATATACCAAGACCAAACAAAATTATTAAATTACAAGCAGTCCTTTGGCAAACAATTATTATAACGGATTTCTATGAATGTCAAAAAGAATACTGTAGACTCTTATGATCACCTCAACAGAAAGTAAAACCGACAAAGAATTTAGCAAATGGTAACAGCAGTATTAACCATCACCTATATACCAAGAAATTGAAATGACTGAAGTTCCTCTTCAGCTGAAAAACTAGATATGAAGAGCCAAATGAGCCTTGCAAGAGCTTCAGTCATTTTCCAGAAGCTAAACTAGCACATTTTGAAGAGCTGCAATTTGCTTCTAGCCACAAAAAACTCTCCAATCTCACCGAATTAAGAAGCCAAAGTTCCTACAATGTCTTCCTCAATGTTCCCCTTTCCTTTTCGGGAATTGTGCCCAAGGGAGAGGTTGTAACCCTACATCAGCTGATTTCTAAGAAGATGATTCTCTGTGATTGCAGCTGCTGTTCAAAAGAGAGCTATCAGTTAACTGGAATTAGTCACTGCCCAACAGCAAGAAAACGAGATTTCAGCTTTCTCCATTACATACCTTGTTTTGATTCCTGACCTTCCAGCTTGTTGTCTTCTCTCAGAGAAGAAGTAGAGTCTATACTGTTGTCCTGTCTGGACACAAATAAGATGACATTTTAATCTACGTCTTTTACAATTTAAGAGAACTTCTCTAAGAAACGTTTCTTTAACTAAAGAAATTATGTTGTGGGAGGCCAATAGGCCAGCTACACCTACAGTATGAATAGAGGCAAAAGGAACGCACAGAGTGCTAAGCTAAGCACTTGAGAATGAGCTTTTTTTTTGCTTTACCTAGCGATACACAAGGATAAAGCAAATATTCCCACTACACCCTAGCCTTTCAGAATAACAATCCTCACTGGTAGCCACTCCCTAATATTAGGAGCTTTTCTCTAAAACTCAGAACAAATTGTCACACAGATAAATGATTTGAAAAAACTATAGTTTCAGTTGCATTCAAATACTACTTTCTGTTTTCTTTTGAAAAAGGGCTGCAAGAGGGCAAATTGAGGGACCATAGCTCTGCTAAATACCCAAGAATCAACAATGAGTGTCAGCTACTGGGGACAATCACGGGTCTGCACCAGCTACCAGAGATGCATGAGTGCACAAGGAGGACTGAATGGCAACTGGAGTGGGCATGCAAACCTTGCAGGCTTGTATGTCCAAATGCCAGCAACCAGGGAGAGCAGTGGATCTGGGACCAGCTACTGGTCAACAGATCTGGAAAGATCCACTTTTTTTTTTTTTCTTTTAAAGCAACTCCTAATGATTTGTTATACTTAGTCCCTCAACTCTTGACCAAAATAAGGTTGTGATATACCTTGCTCGTCACCAAGAGCAAAAGCTGCTTAGGCTGCCCCTACCCTATCCTCCCCACCACACACGCTTCATCATTTTGAACTGCGTAGTCACCTCTGCACTGGACAATGTGTCATTTGGGAAAGTCTGATCTTGCACAAATAGTATCCAGGCAAGAAACTTCAGATCGCTTGTATTATCCTGAGCTCCAACTCCAAATTCCACTGAGAACTTACAATCACGCCTTTGACAGAAAACTCAAGAGTGACCTCTATGGTTCAAACACTGGCTGTGAAATTACCCACACCCATTTTAACAGCTACATAAAAAGAAATTACCAACTGAAAAATCACACATCAAAACTTTACTGTAAAGTTTTCTCCTGTTGCCTTGACAGTATCACTGATTACAACAAAACCACATTCCTTTAAAGATTACCTACTGTCTGCAAAAGAAGTTTTAGAACCCAAAAGTACTTTTACAGCACGTTTTACTCTTTCAGAATTGATTGGATTGGACTGTACTGCTGGTGAAGCTTCACTACTTAATTTAACAGGCAGGCATTTTGCACCATCTTGCGGCCAAGCAGAAGCATTTCAGTTCACAGTTCAGTTTTGCTTTCCAACTTGGTTTAATTTGTTTGTCAGTAAAAAATATTTTTTTCCTCATTATCTATACTGCGGTATAGATTTAAGAAAGGGTAGCACACAACATTATGTCTCCAAACAACAGGAGGAGAAGATATGCTAATCTAAAATTAAGGCACAGTATACAAATTTAATACCCTCTTTCATGCCATGCTAGTAAATGACCACAGTAATTTGGAGCTCCCTCTTTTTATCAGTCTTTAAAGATACTTCTCCCTCAGGATGACAGTTAAGTTCAAAGTCACTCTTCCAAGAGATAAACCCATCATTTTTTTCTTTTTTTAATAGAACAACATTTGCACAGTATGTTCTTTTCAGCAGAAAGAAGCTAACTATTAAGTTTGTTGGTGACAAATGCTGTGAATTTAAGTTTGCCCTATGCCAGCTTTTCATGTTGGCATGCTCCATGCTAGTGCAATGCTTACATGGGCTCACGCATGTGGATTCTGTACAGAACCTATTACTTTCAGGAATCTGCATAGCTGCCAAAGAAATCTGGGTTTGAAGGTCATTTGGTACCACAACTCCAGCAGATTATGCAGATTGAGGTAAGACAGCAGCACAGGTTAGGAAAAGGGGTACTGGTCAGAGGACTGGACAGCTAAGGACTAAGACAATAGCACTGCAATACTGGTGGCTGGGATTCCAAGCATCAGCAATAACTGGGGTTGGAGAACAGCAGGAAGAGTTTTGTGACAGAAAAAAGTATCTTAATGTGCTGGACTAGAAGACAGTCTGACAACATGAGATCCAGTCATGCTGATAATTTCATTATAAGGCTTTTAATTGTCATTAAGAAACATTCACCTAAATCTCTGGAGTGAGGCTTGAGATGAGTACCTCTGCTACTCTGACATAAAGATGATGTACCTTCCTAAATTAAAATTTGCCTTTACAGTTCCAAGTCTAAAAAATATTTCTAGAAGTCCCAAGTCCTTATAAGCTTCCTGCAAATTTTGGCTGCAAGGGTAGTTTTCCATGACAAATGAGAACTAAAATAATTAACGGCAAGGAAAAAAGGAAAAAAATTCTCATGAAGTAGTGCTCCTCATGAAAAGTATCCCAAATGACAGATGCTAGTCAAGTAGTTTAATGCGCTATGAAATGTCCATCAGTCTGATTACAGGTGAAGTTTGAGGACACCACAAGAACGGAAGACAATGAACAGATGCCAAGTGTTAATGTACCTGTTCAGTGACTCATGTAGCCTATTCTTTCAGTGATTCCAAGTGGTGAAGGTAATCAAATTGTCCTAGAGGAGTAAATATCAGATGGCAATTGCATGCTTGTGAACAGCCCAGTACCCCGGAGCAAAACATGTTAAAATACAGCAAGCCTCTAAACTGCTAACCCTTCTAAAACAAAACAAGCAAAAAGTGCACTTATGACTGCAAAACAGTAAAAAGCCTACAAATTCTTGAAAGAGCGAATATTAAACTGCAGATTTTTACATAGTGAATAAGTACATTAGATTTTTAAAGCAAAAGATCATTTACTCACATTATGCACGTGAACATATCATCACTATAATGAAATTTAGTATGCTTGTTCTTTTAATACATGTTTTATTACTACAGCAAATAATTTACTCTCAGTTCTTCTGTTGGAGGGTATTTAAAGAGCCAATTCAGGGAACAGGAAAAAAATAGCTCAAGAACATGGTAATACCTTTTGAATGAGATGGGAAGAATGCCTACTCGGTTTTGCAGGACATTAATTGGCTAACTCCTTTCAATTAAGTATCTGTCATTTAGTTGGAAGCTTGGGATACAGCAATTCTCTTGGTTTAACAGTATTCCATTGCAGACAATAACAAAAATCTGAGAACTGCATAGTTAAAAATCTACGCAAAGCTCACAAGTAGTGAAGCATATCTATTGTAACAGCAATTTCCAGTTATTGGCAAACACAGGCCCTGCTTCTTCAGTTCTTCTGCATGCTTATTCCAGGATTTCTAGTGTTTAACTCAGAAGAAGCTGGTGACACAATAACAAAGCAAGTGTGTTACATGCTAAAGGAAGCATCTGAAGCTTTTACAGAGCTGAAATTTAGGAAAAGCCTCAAGCCTTCCATTCTGGCGGCAGAATGAGGATATGTGTGTCAGAAAAAGGAAGATTCAATTTACAGTTTCAGATGCAATACTATCCAAAAGCTTCAGATAAAAACCTGAATTTTGCAATCTTCCCTGTACCTGGAGAAACGTCTCTAAACCCCTGCTACTTTTAGAAGGTACAGACAAGAAACAGGTCTTTAGAGACAGGTAAGTACTTGCATGTTTTCGGAAAAAAAAGACACAGTACAAACTACACCCTTCTAAGAAAGCCTGTGTATTTCGATACACTTTTAATCTCTTCAGATATATTGATTTAAGCTTTCTGGATTTCTATTGATATATGCATATTGCTGAAGGTATAAATTTTTCAATTTTTTTTAAAGAACAAGGTTGAAAGAAACAAACTGATGTTTCCAATCAGTTAACAAATTTTTGACTAGAGTCAGACTTGCTATTCACATTTTCCCTTCCCACGTTTACATGTCCATGAAAACAACTAAGACAAGTCAGACTTAAAACAAAAAAGCTTTAATGTTGCATCATTAATAGAGTGCAGAAAAAAGTAGTTATTTACAAGAAAACCATAAGTAATGAAGACAAACTATGAAGAACAAACAGTGAGAACATAAACAAAGAAACTGTCTTTTTCATTCTGAAAAGTCTTTTCTCTTCCCAGGGCAAACAAATTCACCCACTTAAACTCAGATGATAAATAGAAACATATTAATGATTACAACCAAAGTTTAGCTCAGCAATGCAGTTTTCACTATTTCTTCACTGTTGCATCTTTAGCTTCCCTGCCCCCTGACTGACTTGTTGCTGTTCTGGCTGAAGCACAGTTTTCTGAAGTTTTGCAAACTTGTATTTATATTTATTTACACACAGGTTGCAAAAAAGTTAACCTAAATGCCTAAACATCAGACCTATTTAGCAAAAAGGGCTTGTGACATTTTACAGTTGTAAAAGCATAATATTGTTCTACTTACTGATCACTGGGCTTAACAATTAATATAAAACCTTAATTTTCCTCATTTCACCTATTTCTTCCTATGCCTTTATTTCTCTATCACCCAAACAGTTTTCCCTTTTTGTTTTTTGTTAAAGCTAGCACACAGCTGAATCTGTAAGCCAAGGTTCTGAGATAGCACCCTTGTGTGTAGCATACTATTTTTTAACCTACTGCATTCAAAGGAGAAGAAAAGCCACAATTCCTACACCAACATATCTTGCCTGGCCAGTTTGGAGGGGTCTGAAATATCAAACTATCAGGATGGAGACAGAAATACAAAAACCAGGGGCACCTCAACCATTCTGTTTGTCAGAGGAAGCAAACCGCCCTATAACTTTGATGAACACCTCTTAGTTTCTTTTACTTTTTTTTAAACACAGTTTCTTCTCGATTTTGCTGTCAGTTACTGCTCACATCTTTCTCATCAGCGACATAAGGTGACCTAACTTTGTCAGTTTTTGGTAACTGCAGCAATGGTTAAAGAACTTGGTCAGTTTTAATTCTGCTGTATTTCAACACAGCTATGAGAAAAGGTAGACAACACCAACGGACTTTGGTTTACTCACTGCTTATGTCTGGAACATTATCTGTACAGTGTAGCAACAGTAGACTTCCAAACTGCAATTTAGATCCTACAGATGTTGTTTTCCTGAAACTTTCCTACTTGCCATGGGCAAATGGGTTAAGTGTCTTCAGATACCCACTAGATGAAAAATGGTAAATCCTGCTTGCTTTCCTTATTTTGTTGTTTTATTCATTAACGGACAATAACAACTTCCCCTTTTTAGGTTTTAGCTCAAATCACTACTTTATTTGCACATAAGCAAGACTTTATTCAATCTACTGTAGCTGAGGGTCATAAATACATGTCTCAATAGTAGCTCTGAAACACCTTGCAGCCATGGAGTTACCTTCCTGAAATCTAGCAGCGCTAATCCTGCCATACCTCTTTAAGAGGAAGAGCATTTCATGTATTTTGCAATAGTAAAGAGCTTGTGAATTAGGCCTCAAAAAAATCATGTAATTTCTACAGGCATAAAAATCCTGGGGCATTTTTCATGGCTTCCTTAGCCCAGAAGTTTGTCTTCTCATTCTGTTTAGAAGTTCACTGGCAAAACATCCATCATCTAACAGAGACTCCTCTATATAAAGAGACCTGATATTTAGTGTATTTTGTAGGTTTTGACTTTTTATTTTGCTTTTTTAAATAGCCAGCAGAAGGCAATGTCCAAAATAAGAAAACTAGTCCACATGAATGGATGTGTTGACACCATTCACAGATCACATAGGCAACAAATAGCAAAGGGGGGATACAGTCACAAATCAGCTCCAAATGAACCCTAGAAGAAATAGTGTCGGGGGTATTAAAACTGTATCACATGAGAGAAACATGATGAAACATCATTTAACTTAGTATCACTCCATTTTCTAGTGTATTTGTACGATGTATGGTGAGATGTGATCAAAGAAAATTATTTCATTCAATAACTTCGTAAGTTGTTCTGAATCAAAGACAGGATCAGAACAAATTTTGATTTGTTAAATCAAAAATACTGACCAGAATGTGAAATTTGGATAATATCACTACCTCTTCCATCCATTTGTTCCTATTTAGTAAGTCTAGATGAACTAAGCAAACTAGCAACTAAGAGGTACTTTAATCTGCCCAACACTGGTGTATTGTCTTGTATTGTCTCAGAGGTTTACTAAGTTTGATCATTTCTCACGAAAAATTGTTCAGTATTCTTAAATTAAGTTTTTAAGTGTTTTGTCTTTTACTCACTGACTGACTGGTTCACCTCCAGCCTTGTCTCCTCCATCTGCCTCCTCGTCAGTATCAGAATCAGCTCCAATCTTGCCTAGATATACAGAGTTTCAAACATGAAAATTTAGGCAGGTAATATAAATAATGCTATGTAGTTAGGCTTATTCTTAATAATTAACTCTACTGCAATAATCAGCAGAAGAGGTTTTTTTCCCCACTTAAAGCAGATGTTCTAAAGTTAGACTTACTCAAAACCAAAAACCTTATTTCAGTTACACTGTATTACAAAAAAACCAGAATAGTTATTGCTAGTGCAATACTATAGGCACTAAAAATAAAGCACAGGAGGTAGAATTAATAGAAGGTACTCCACAGCATTCAAGATTCAAAGAGTTCCACTTAATTGAGAAGACAGCAATATGTTTACAAATAAATTCTAGAGTCCTTAAATATCAAGTGGGAGTTCAGTAAGATGCTGAAAAGCTGGAATGTCATATCCTTCATCAAAGTACATGAACTGTGTGTCTTAGCTGAGCAGAGGCATCCACCAAGCATCCTTTAACTACACCGAATACGCTAGTGCAATTGCTAATACAACTGAACTGGTATTGCGGTATGTCAGATTTCCCCTGCAGAGAACCAGGAGGCAACTTAATGTCGGTTTACCTAAAATAATGGATTTCAAACAATACTTCTACGCTCCTAGTTTTGTTTTTTCCACCAAGTCAAAAGCTTTGTTCTTAGTTTGGGTACTAAGGAAAAGAAGCTTATACTACTCTTTTCTGAATGTGCCCCTATTAGTTTCTAAATCAATGGACGATTTCATTCAAGCTTAAAAGATCAAAACCAGCATATATATATATACACACACACACACTAGTAGCATGTGTATATACGTAATACTAATACATACACATATATATATATACACACTAATATATACTTATTGGGGGGTGTGTGTGTGTGTGTATATATTAGTAGCTAGAAACAGAGTGAAAATCCAGTTTAGAGGCAGACTATGCTCTGGTGTACAGTGGTGCCTAAAAGTTTCATTCATACCTTCAAATATCTTCAACAGTTTTTTTTCAGATAGCAGCTCCAACTGCTCCAAGCAAAGCCTTTTGATTTCGTCCATGGAACAGTTCTAAGAAGACAGATAAGACAGACCACGAGCTATTGAAAATTTCTGAGGACAGAGTAATTATGAACGCTAAGTAGTATTCCAACTGTACTGAATGAAGAGCTAACTCAGATTGCAAGTCCATTCCCTATTCTGACTTGCATTGATGCAACTATTGAAGAATACCAGGTAGGCATTTCAGTTTTGACAACTACCAGAAATAATGTGTGTGGTTTTTTCTGAAAAATTAAGCAATACACACTATCAGTTACTCAACCTATGGCCTGGAGTTTTCACTGCAGCTGCAACACTGAGCAGTAGAAATACTGGGCCACCCATCACTTGGGAGTGGGTGGATTACATTATTGAGCCTGCAAAGACCAGAGCCAACTGTTGGATCCAAGTTCACGAACTGCAGCTAACGCCGCTATTGACAACACACCAACAGTTGTGTATCATAATAAAGAAAACATAAGAAATACGTAAATTGTGATCCATTTCTCATGCTTGATACTACCACATGCTGTCACAGATTTTATGGGTATTCCAGCTACCTTCACATCTTTCATACTACTTGGCGTCCTCCTGGTGAAATAAAGTGATAATTTCACACTTTCAAATGAACTATGATACCACTTTCACATTCCAAAATTAGAAAGTGCTGAGCATATTGTAACATTGACGATCCTACTGTAAGTTTCATTCTACAGCACCAGGCAACTTCCTTTCAAACTCAGTAATGCCTTTGCCTCCAGCTGCACCAGGCCTCTTCTCCCAGAGAAGAGAAATGAACGAGACTGTATGCAATTCACTACGTGCTTAAAATGAAGAAGTCCTGCCTCGCTTATATTAATAATATAACTCATAAAGATAAAAATTAAAGACAAAAATTTTAAAACTATTAACAAACATCACACAAACGGCATTTCACCTGCAGCCTCTTCTTCTGTACAGGCTGCTAGCCTAATTTATTATTACCAAGTCCTGCAGTTCACAAGACTCAAAAAGCGTACGTTCTAAGCCAGTAAAACACTAGCGATACTACTACTGAAGTCCACAGAAGTTACAACTTCAGAAGCTGTTTATCAAGAAGGAGTTTTATTGCCTTACCTCAGACATCAATTTAATACCATACAAAGAAATTCAGCTGACACAAACAGAAATCAAACTTTTATTAACAAATCACCATATTTATTAGTGAACAACACTACTGAATTTACGCCATGCAATTATGAAACTCCTTTTGCATTTAACTAACCAGTACAGACAGACAGTATAAAAATAAGCAGCCTGCAGTTCAGCAATGGCTGAGCAGTGGAAAAAGCAGTAAGCTGGAATAACTGTATCAAATCTTAAAAAAGTCTCACTTTCAGAGACTTGATATAATCTTTCTTCAAGAAATATACAGGCAGCTTTTAAGCTGGAAGTCCACTAGACTTGAGAGACAAATGTGCTTTGTTACACAAGCATTCAAGCTTGTAAAAAGTATATAAAGGTAAGTGTATGTCAGTACCTTTAAAATATCAGGCAGCATCTTCTGTAGTTTTTTCTCTCCTATGACACAGAAACACTGTTGAAGCATTTCTTTTTTGTCCGCGATGTAGAAACTGACTGGTTTGAGTGACACACTGAGATCTAATCCTCCTTCTTCTATATCACTGGGTTGTTCAGCTTCTTCCACTTTTTCTCCAGATGGTACATTGCACTTTTCTTCCTAAAATCAAGGAGAGCAAGTACAATTTTCACATTTTCTAGTGAACTACAGAAGAAGGGAAGTTACAGCTTCATTTGTGCTTGCAATAGTTTTCCCTTCATAATTGCAAGATACATCTCCAGATGGACTTTTGAGCTTCCAAATAGTGTTTTAGTTTTCAAGGTAACTGCATTACAGAAGCTACATTTTTGGTTACTGAAACCATTCTTATGGGAAATTTTAAAAGCTTCAAGAGGCAAAAAGTACTTTTAAATTAACTGGAAAATATTATCTGCAAATACCTAGCCGCTGCTTATACATGAAAGCATGCTTTAAGGCGGAGGAAGTCCGTCTCTCTGATTTGCTGCGCAATTAAATCACTAATTTCATAATTTACAGCCACCCTGCTATGAAGGAAATTGGCATACAATTCCCTGCGTGGCACAATCTTCTGAGACTAAAAGCGGGCTTTGCAGCAGAAAATACAACTTCCATGCACCAGTGGAAGACCTCTACAGTTAAAAAAAAACAGCTAGAAATACGTTTTGTCAGCCCCACGATTCACTGAGGAGTGCGCGTCACGTGAACTTTAGCACTGCCGCGCCGACACCTCCTAGAACAGACCGGCAACCCTGCCAGCATGACCACCCGCCAGCGACCGGGGGCGCCTTCAGCTCGTGCCCCGCACCTCTCACCCCTGGGCAGGCAGACACAGGCCGCTCTCCCTCGGGCGCGCACG